GGGTTGATGCGCGATGGTAATTGGACTGTTTCAGGCCTGAGTACAAAGGGGTAATTTTGGGTTCGTTACACCGTGTGGTAGTAGGAATGAATGAAATAAGCGCAAGGCAGTAAAACTCACTGCAACATTGTCACGCCGCGATATTCCTCCGACGCTGTTGAGCTCTCTCCCGTACATTTGACGCGGGCGACGTTCTGGCGCAGCTTCATGGCAACACACCTTGAGCAGAAGTCGTGGTCGCACATGGTGAAGTTGTACCTCATACATGCACATGGCACCACATGCATGCACTTGGCACAGTAGAAGCGCTTACTGTCACTGATGTCGTTTACGGGTGAACCTTCATTGCCATCGGTGATGAACATGGGGTCGATGCGCGACGGTACTTGGACCGTTTCAGGCCTGAGTATAAAGGGGTGAGTTGAGTTTGTTAAACCGTGTGATAGTAGGAACGAATGAAATAAGCACAAGCAAATAAAATCACCGCAAGATCGTCACGCCGCGATATTTCTCCGACGCCGTCGAGCTCTCCCCAGTGCATTTGAGGCGGGCGACATTCTGGGGTAGCTTCATGGCAACACAGCTCGAGCAGAAGTCATGGTCGCACATGCTGAAGCAGGGCCGAATACATGCACATGGCACGACAGACATGCACTTGGCACAATAGAAATGTTTACCATCACCAATGTCGTTGCCGTTGACTAGTGAACCTCCATTGCCGTCGATGATGAACATGGGGTCGATGCGCCGCGGTAGTAGGATTGTTTGAGGCCTGAGTATAAAGGGGTAATTTTGAGTACATTGTGGCGAGCAAATACATTTCCGTGATGTGTGGCAGTACCAACAAATGAACCAAGTGGAGGAGAGTAGAACTCACCGCATTGTCGCCATAGCGAGGAGGTCGTGGGGGATGATTCCGCGGCAGCTCTCACAGCTACACAGCTCAACCAGAAGGGGCGACCTGCTGAAGGTGTGCCGTATAGAGTGGCGGAGTCAGGACAGAAGCGATTGCACAATAAGTATATAATTTGAACTCAACAGTTAACAATCCAAAAAAATAGATGCAAGATGAGAAAATGTATGTATATATAAAACAATAGTGTGGAGATACAAAGGAGAGCAGATCTCTTCATCTTCTATTCTACAGCATGAATGCAAGTAACGGGATGCGTAGATCTGAGTAAATCCACCCCGCATACACATAACTTCAGCTCGATTTTGGTCGAATCGTTCAATGCAGTATGCATCTGGGTTTATTTTTTGTTAGAATATATGATGATGCATCAGTTTAGATTAGAACCTAGTACTGTAGAAATTAGGAATTACCCTCGGGGGTCCGGCTGCGGGCTGCGCCTGTCCCAAAGTTGCCCTGGATCAGAACCTGAAGCAGAATCAGAGCAATCCACCACCTACACTACCAACTGAAGCTGATCGCCCGCTTGATCTCGAAGCAATTTCATCAGCCGACACAGTTACCGAGTGGAGTAGCAGGCAGCAGCTCCTGCGCGAGTCAGCGAGCAGCGGAGCGAGATCGGCGGCTGGGCGGGGGCCAGACGGGGAGGCTGGCTAGGAGCACTGCTGGGCGATAGGGGAATGGCGCGTAGGCGGACGCACAGAGGAGGCAGCTAGCGTGACGGCGGCGGCCGGCAGCCGGCGGAGAGCAACTAGGTCGTGAGTGGGACGCGTGGGTAGGGCCCAAGGGGGTCGTGCGCGTGTCGTGCCTTCGTTTCCGCGGTGGGCTGCAGCTGGGCTGGGCTAAGACTTCGGGCCGAAACATACATGGGCTTAAAAAATGGGAAACGATGCACCAATAAAAAAAGCGAATTACGCGTGAGCATTGCAAATGCCCAAAAAATACGATTTTTTCTAGACATGTAAATTTTCATGTCCAAATGTCGGCTGCAAATGTTTAGAGGGAAAGTACAACGCCGGCAAATTTTTGGCATTTATAGACCAGTAGACTTTGCTTTTTCCACTGACGAAGCATAGTTGTTCAGTTTCACATGACAATTGTCAATCACACTTTTGACACTAACATGATCATGTGCAAAAAAAAACAATCACAATTTAAAATTTTATTTGATGTTCATTTGCTCCGAGGAGCCAAAACGTCGTGCCCTCACCAATTCGTCAATAAATGACCAGTCGGATGAACTGAATCACCAATCAGTCCAAACCTAATCAGAATTGGAAGAAGGATTGATAGATGGTTATTTGTTTGTTTGGAAACTGAAAAAAAAATTAAGCAGAGATGGAAAAAAAATTAAATAGCAAGATGATGATGAACATCACCTTACAAAAAACGTCTCTGTACCGTGATATAAGATGTTTTTGCAGCTCAATTTGAACTGCAAAAACGTCTTATATTTTTGTACGGAGGGAGTAAGAAATATTGAAACAACAATTGAACTCTCGGTGCCAAGTTAGCTACTGTAGCATCTTCAGAGACGATAACAGTAGCTTACTGCAAGTAGGTCCATTCATTTTCACGCGTCTTCACAAACAGGAAAGAGCAAAGCAAATTTAACTGGGTCTTGAACTTCTTGGATCGAGTCTAGCACTCCAGCTCCACACTCTCACGCATGAAGCCCTCAGCAAAAGTAAATCCAGAGGCAATGCCCTAAACAAATCCGTGCACAAACAATGGTCTACAACCAACCACCAATCAAGTAACTAGCATCGTGTTAATTAGTACTAGAAATAGTGTCGTAAGTAAAAACGAAGATATGTCATTGCTGAACATAATCACGTGCTCTTTCTTCTTATTAGCTTCCATCTGTAAGTAAGAGAGGGCGGATCTAAGACATTTAATCGACAAACGCAAAGCAGCAAAAAAAGTTAAAAGACGCTCGACAATAAATCTAAAACTGTCTTATCGTACCTCGTGGCAATCCCAGCAGCTCTACTCTGAAAGTCTGAATGACAACCAAATGGCAAACCAGCGCATGCTAGCATAATCGACAAAAACAGTACAAAACTGCACATGACTATAAGTTCTTGGTCCATCACTCTGAAGACAGACCCTTCCATCTTATATTTCAGAAGATTACAGAAACTGTTTTGACCGACCAGTTAATCGAACTTAACTTTCAGGTTAACAGCATTGACTGAAACAGGGTCAATTTGCTGGTGTAAATGTAAGCGGAGGATGTCACAGGTCAAAGATGAAAACATGTCATCCTGATTCATGCGCGCACAAAGTGTAAAATCTAGGATCGATCCTGAGTCCCGATGCTCCCGAAAGCTCAGTTTATTTACAGTAAGCAGGCGCAACATCACTACAACCAAGCTCCCCCCCTCTGTTGGCTTTTGTCTGCTCCTCTGGTCTCTTTAGTCATCGTGGTCGTCGAAAGCACTCGGAGGCAGCGTGAACATCTTCATACACTTTGGATCAGCAACGCCCTAATGAAATAAATACACAAGAAACCATTTACAACCAAGCAAGTAATTAGCAGCATTTGTGTTGGTCGAACTAACGTCACAGAGCCAAAGAAACGACATTGGCAATTACCGATTACCGTCAAACTATATCTTATCTTATCTTTCTTAGCTTCCATCTGCAAAAGAGGGTGAAACGTGTATAGTTAACAGCAAATCAACAAGAATGTTAAAGGCTCGGCCCAAAAATTAACCATCGTATCGTTCATACATCTTCGTCGTCCGAGTCGCTGCTCCAGCCTACATAACAATGTCCAAAGGGTGAAACCACCTTCAAGTGACCGGCAAGGTATTCACCGGCACTGTTGGGGTGCTTCATATGGACATCCCCATCCTTGGTACAACCATAGCAGTGTCCTTTATTAACAAACACAAGAAAAGAGTCAACTGCGAGGTAACCAACCAGGCAACAATATTATGACATCATAATTGCTGACTATTTTGAGTACTGAAGGTAAAATATTTTCTTTGTACACAACAGCCATGGCCGTGCATGAACCAGCAGTTTGAAAATGTTTACGAATGTAAAGCTCACGGATGTAAGCAAGGGGCAAAGTAACAACTAACGACACTAAAGATAAGTACTACAGTCAGAAACACATTTATAGTTATATGTAACAGATAAGCTCAAGTTGGTGCCACACCCACAAAATGCATTTCAGCAATATACTCAAAACTAAGAAAAGGTTTTCATTGCCACAGTTAGAATCACCAGCTCCTTTGTTTTGCAGTGCACAACATCTTTAAGTTCATATGCAAATCCTGTCTTAAAAAGCATGGGTCAGATCAACAACTATTGCATGGATAAAACAATGAGAGAGATAGAGAGACAGAGACAGGCACAGGCACAGACAGACAGACAGACAGACAGACAACACACACACACACACACAGTGCACGCACGCACGCACACGCGCGCGCGCGCGCGCACACACACACACACACACACACACAGAGAGAGAGAGAGAGAGAGAGAGAGAGAGGAGAGAGAGCACCCCCAAAAGACTATGATCCTCATTATGCTTGTCCACCAAAGCTTGAAGTAATCTGCGCATTCGATTATGAACTTGCTGGATCATATACGATCTTGAACGTTTCTTCCTTCTGCCATCAGGCCAATAAAGAGCTTTTTCTATAGAAATCTCTAGTGAAGGAACCCCACCTTGATTCATTAACCTAATTTAGATCGTAGCATTTTATATGGTCAATACCTTGTACTTTCTCAAAATTGGACAATAAGAAGTTATACCGGACTATGATGCTCTGGTTTGCGCAAAAGGTTGCACACTGGCAATCCAAGAACAAGAACAGAACAAAACAGGATTGTTCACATGCCTACAAGTTCTTGGACCACAACTCTTAGAAAAAGCTATCACTTTTTTGACTAGTTACTAGAGCGCTGTCACGATTAATTGACGGAAACAGAGGTGGGTGTGTGGCACTTTGTTAGTTTCAGCTATTTTTATGATTTATACACTATATATTTTAACAACTATCTCACAAATAAATATACAATAAACTTTCAGTGGCACAAAAACAGGAATATACAAATCATCTAGACTAGTGTTTTCCACAATGAATTTGTCAGGTTATGTGGAATCTAGGTTAAAGTCATTTCATATTAATTTCGCTATCCATATGCTCGTCTTTCGCGGGCTGAAGGCCTGAAGCCTGTGGTTAATTTAATACTCCATCTGTTCCTAAATATAAGTCTTTTCAGACATTTCAAATCGACTACAATATACAGATGTATGTAGAACTGTAGATTCACTCATTTTACTCCGTATGTAATCACTTGTTGGAATCTCTAGAAAGATTTATATTTCGGAACGGAGGGAGCATAATAGAGTAACCCTGTTTGGATATAATCAATAGCAGACATGCACACAAAACCAGGGGTAGTAGTAAGAACATTCATCTAGAAATGAGTTGAGGAAATTTACAGTTTTGGATCCCGATGTAGATGAAAATAGCGATCCATAGCCTTGTCAACTTCCTCTAAGCTCTGAAACGGCCCGCCCACCCTTCAGGTAGAGATGCCTGAGGAGGTAGTTCCCGTCCCCATCGACACGTATAAAGACTGTGATCGGCTCAAAGCCGCCGGTGGGACTGCGCCGGGGGAGGCACTCCCGAGGAATAACCTTGGGCGCCATCACAACGGCCGCCATAATTCGAGGTGGGGAAGACGGGAAGACGATTAGGGTTTGACGATTCCGATTGGGGACAAGCTAGACGGAGTTTTCTTTTCTTGAGAGCATCTCTAACAGCCGTCCAACGCGTCGCGCGTTAAAAACTACTTTGCTGCGCGCCCATTGCTTGGTTTGGCGCGGCGGGCAGCGCTGCCTCCAGCAGCGACGCTAAAATGCAGCGCGCGCGCAGCTCTAGCAGTGCGCGCGACTCGCGCACAAACAACATATGCATTTCAAAACACAAACAAAAAGATCAAACATAAA